AGCAGACAGGCAGGCTGTGTGTGACCTGTGGGTGATGTCACATCACAACTCACATGGAAGACGGGTACATTTTGTGGAGAAGAGATCGATGATTTTAGGGAAACTAGCAAAGAAAGATGGAAGGGCAGAAGATATTTGATTCTTAATGATTTGGCAATTTGCAGCTTCATATACAATTCAAAAATTATAAGACTTACTTTATATTCTTGGATACTTTACAAAAACAAAACAAGACAAATACTGTCTATGAGCACCAGCTCATGGTGGATTAAGAAAAATCTACTCACTCTCTTAGTGTTAATATTTCAGTATGATTGCCACAAAATCTTCCTAATTGGAACCTTGAGAGATTAATGAAAACATGTTATAAAATAATTGAGGTATGTAGAAGAAGGGCATGAGTTCTATAGCAATAGAGACAGGAAGTCAGTGGCTGAGTGCCACTTCATTTCTTCAGTCCTGTCACTCAGTGATAACTTCTGTGGCTTCCTGGCCACATGTAGGTCTTGTCCAACATTTCAGGCTGACAAAGCACAGGCAGGAAGGCCGCCTCTCCCAGGAGCTGCACGGCCACTGCTCTCTGCCAGCACAGTTCTCTCAGACTTTGGGAGGTCCTCTCGGAGACTCGGAAGAATGAATCCCCCTCTAGGGCTTCCCCAGTCTCCCTTTCACAAGTCATCCACTATCCACTGACTTAAACTCATTCAGCTCAGGGTCAGGATCGGTAAGGAGCTTATCTTACACACCACAAAACATGGCCTGCCTGGGGGGATACAAAGAAACAGCCAGAAACCAAGATCCCTCAGCCGCTCCCTTTATTTGCTGCCCAGTTGCCTGTAAATGAAAACCAGCAATCAAAGTGATCACTTTATAAATACAGTATGATCCTAATTTTATAAACAACCACAGTAACAATCCCCAAAGCCCCCGAACTTATATACAGCAAAGCTACAGGATTACGGCTAGAAGCACAGAATATCAAGCCAATCTGCCTGGGATCAAATCCCAGTTCCAATATCAACAATTACTAAGCTGGGTGACCTTGGGCAAGTTACCTGGCATCTTTATACCTCAGTCCCTTCTGCTGAAAAATCGAGATTTTAATAGTCCTAGTTACACAGCATTGCTATGAGGATCACTAAGTTAATACACATAGAAGACTTAAAACAGAGGTTGGCACATAGTAAGCACGATGCATGTGATTACGATCACCATCATCATCATGAATATACATATATAGGCACTGGGGACTGGGCAATATCTCTGGGTACTGGGATTAGAGATAATATTTACTTTTTTATTGTGCATCTCTGTGCTTTGCAAATTATGTACAAGGAACTTGCATCAGCTTTGTAATCAGAAAGCACTGATTAATCTTAAATGATCATTTTATTTATAGTGATAAAATGCTGTGAGCCTGCAAGCTTATCTTCAGATAAAAGAGCTGTGATAAATTGTGCGGCGATGGGATATTTAAGCCATCCATATACATGATGGCAGGAATCTCGTAGCTCTGAAGAAACAGCAATTTGATTATTAATATCTGAGAAGGACAATGCACGAATTGCTGTAACTTCCAAACTGTCCTCTCTTTGTAACCTACTGTTCTGGAAGTTGAGAAGCTCAGAAAAATTGCTTCCTATTGCATAGCACAAGGACACCTGACTTCTCGGATGTGTTTTTTATGTTCTCTTTTCACACTATCTGTCCTACTACAATAACAGCATGAAATTTCCAGGTCTCATCCTATACTCTTTCTTTCCTCAGATATTTATAAACCGTCTCCTATTGAGATATCTAGCTCTTTTCACTCTACACATCACACACAGTACTTTAATTGACCCACTTTTCTTACAAAAAGCCCTATTTTTGTAATAAAGTAGTAAGCCTGACCCAACCACCCTTGAGTCAAGGCTTATTAATGATAAGAACATAGTACAATATAAAGCAATTATGGTCCCTGCTTGCGCGGACCTGGAAAAGGATGACTGATGGGCAAGCATGATGTGGTGAAAGGGACTGGTGCCCACTGGCTCTTGAGGGATGACAAGACATGAAGCATTTCTTCCTCTACAAAATGACCTCACTGGCCCAACACGTAAGTGCGTGGCAAGTACTTGCTAACAATCACGGTGAATTTGCAAACTGCAAGGCCTGCAAATTACTGTTATCAACAGCATCTTACTGTCATGGGAAGTAGGCTGCATTTTAGCTCAGTGCAAACCAAGGGGCTGCCAAGTTTATGTTCTTATTCAAGATTATCCTGAACGTCAGCTGCAGGGTTGGGGTTGAGGACCATTCACTACCTCTGGTAGGTGAAGACAGTTAACCTAACCATGTTTAAACTTCACGGGAGGAGTTAGCTGTTATTTCCATCTGTCAAGCATGGCCACTCAGGTGTTTGCTGGGAGCCTGCACCTGTGGGCCCTCCATAATTTCTTCTTCAAGCCTCAGGCACTTGCCGTCTGCTCCCCATTCCCCAGTGGCCTTCTCTTACCCTTCAGACCACTGATGAATAGGATCAGTTGCTTACCTTTTCTTCTCCTGTTCTGTTCCTAAATGGATTTTTATCTAGTGATTTTGCTCCAAGTATCTACAAGCAGAATATACAGGAGATGAAAGGAAGAAGGAAGGAAAGAGGGTCAGAAGGAGAGAGAAAGAGACAGGGTGGGAGGGATGGAGGAAGGAAGGAAAAAATGGAAAAAGAGGATGGGAGGAAGGAAGAAAGAAAGTTTTCAAAATCCTAAGGTAGTACTTACAGAACTACCAGGATAACTCTCAGGATACGGCCTGATGCTCTTACCTGTCTTCACGGCCTCCCCGGTCTTACTTGATCTCTAAGGAGTTGGCTTGGCAATCTCAGCCTCCCCCATCCTTCCACCACCTCCTCTCTATAGTCTCTGCAGTCCCTCCCCCCATGTCCCCATCCCTCTTCCCTGTGGAGGACAGACCCTGAAGACCCAAAGAAAGAACAATGTTTGCTAATAGTGGTTAACTGAGTTCTCAAAGGCTCAGCAAGATTCATTCCACCTCAGAAGAAACTTCTACCTATCCAGCCATCTTTAATTTGTTCTTCCACCTCTTCCTGCCTCCTACTGACGAAAGACTGAAATTGCAGGGTCATCTTCGACTGCCCCTCCTTTGCCCCCCCCACACTCAAGATTCACTTGAGTCAATCTTCATGGTATGTCCTGTATTTGCTCTCTCCTCTCCATTTCTTTCCAGCTTCCTAGCTCCAGCGCTCCTCTCTCCTTGGCTAGGCCACTGTGACAACCTGTTCACTGTCCTTCCCATCCGCTCATCGGATTCCACCCACAGCAGCCAGAATCGTTCCCAGCAAAGGTCTGATCCCTTCAGTCTGGTGTTTAAAGTCTTCTATGATTTAGCTTCTAATCTACTCTTCCACTTTCCTATCTTACTTTTTAAGTACCCTACACTCTTGGAAGCTGAAACCACTCAATATTCCTCACATGTGGCCTATAACTGTTGGACTTGTGCATTTGCAGATGCTGTTATTTTAACCTGGAATGCCCCTTTCTCACTTGCAGGATTCCCAAACCTCAGCTGTAGGTGAGCTCTTTGTCCACTGACCCATCTGTAGCATTTGATTGTTGCCTCTCTTATGACCTGCATGGCATCTGAGCTTGTGTTAGAATTCTTTATAGTCCCTGGGTGGCGCAAATGGTTGTAACTGTTAGCCAAAGGTTGGTAGTTTGAACCCTCCCAGAGGCACCTCGAAAGAAAGGCCTGGAGATCTGCTTCTGAAAGGTCACAGCCTTGAAAACCCTGTGAAACAGCTCTACTCTGCATACACAGGGTCTCCATGAGTCAGAATTAACTCCACAGCAACTACCACCACCACCAATCTTCCAAAGAGACATGTCAGGGCCCTCCAATCTGATTCCTCTTTGAATCTCCCACAGCACCTTGGCTGCTGCCCCACATGTAGGACAGGTGTCTACAGAACTTCCAGACCCTCATCCTCCACTCAGACCTCTCCTACGGGCAATGACAAATGAGTAAGACAATGTCTTGGTTTCTGCTCAAGCAACTTACAGCTCAGTTGTGGAGATCTGGCTCATATATACTATGTAATAAAGAGCAGAAAAAGATAAAGGCCAGGCTTACTGAGAATACACACTCTAAGAGGTCGGAAGAGAAGTTTCATTCTTATGGATGTAAGTTGACCTCCGGTAACAGGTTTGTTTTGGATAAGTAAAAAGAAGGGCAATCCAGGTGAAGGGAGTAACCAGATTATAGGCACAGAAGCCAGAGTGAATGTGGTTTGTTCACAGGATCATGAATAAACCCGTGGTGATTAGGGAAGGAAGAGACGGGGTGAGGAAGGGGTGCCCTAACATGCCTACTGGTGCTAGGACCTGGGCTCAGGGCCTTGTATACATATTTTATTTCACCCATACAATAACCTGCAAAGTAGACATTCTCACTGCCCATTTTATAAGGGGTCTGAGGCTCAAAGGGATTATGTATCTGGCCAAGGTTAATGGGCTTAGGGGGCAGAACTGATATTTGAAAAAGTCAAAAGGCTTCCATTGCACTATGCTGTTGCTGCTAGAGCAAAACAGGTGATTATCATTAGGGCTTTCTTCAGGAAGGGGGAGCCCCTGTATTTATAAATAATTCAAGGTATAAAGCAAACAGTTCAGTGTTTGATGCATATAAGTGCTCAAGGTGTGTTAGCTGACTCTGAATGCAAGTCTGTCACCCTGAAGAGAGAAGCAAGGAGGCTGGTCAGCCAGATGAGTGTGTGCTGGGGACAAGTTAATAAGAAGCGCAGGCCTGGAGTTGGGCAGTCTCTCCAGACTAGCAGAAAGCATGCAGGAGGGATTTGGACTAAAGAATTTGGATTAAATCCCCTGCCCGTAGTCTATTTTAGTTACAAAGGAAGATGAATAAGCAACTACACAGAGCTTTGTTGCCTCCGAACACTCGTCCTCAGAGGTGATGGATGAGTGGGGAAACAATCGGAAGAAACATACTTGGTCTTGTTGGCGCATCTGATCTTGCAGCCTTCCTTGGGGATCACCAAGCCCAGGTGCATTCGAAGCCTGCAATTCGTGGGCCCCGTGTGTGGCCACACATGTGTCCCCGGGTGCATGACAGAATATTTGATCTGTGCAAAAAAATACAACACTCTGACATTCAGCCATTTATCAAGTGTGGAGGAATTGCTAAATTAAAGTGACAGTACAAAATTACTGTCAATTTGAATTACAGCCTTTGTAAGACTCAACTTATTCTCATCTTATTTCTTTGTGAAGGAACTAAAAATAAGCACTCACATTTTCCACAACGCAATAAACACTGAACATTTTCCACCCTCTGTTCTGATGTCAACCACATGAAATTATGTTTTATTAAAAGGGAAGTGAAAAAAGGAGGCATTTATTGGGCCAAGAGAAATAATCATTTCTTTGTGAATGTCAGCATTCCCTTATTCCCAGTAAGTAATTGTGTTATTCCCAGCACTGCAAACACTATTAGTACCTGTCCTCTCCTGCATCCCGTTGCTTCGGGGAATTTTTCTAGTAAAGCACAGGTTTTTGGAGCTCCTTTACAAGCATTTTCATTTTTTCTTCCTAGAATAAGAAATGATAAAACTATTGTTAGAGACAAATGAACTCATCTAATTTTGGCCACATGTGATCTATTTTGTCCTCCTCACTCTAGGAATAAGAAGGTTGAGTAAACATAAGAAGGCAAAGGGTGTTGCTCAAACAGATAGTGGTTGGCAGAAAGGACCAGAATTCCCCACTCAGTGCCAGACTATTTGACTAAGGATGGCTTATCTACAGGGCACATGTGGAATGCTTTATCTTCCCCTCTGTGGTTGCAGAGTAATGTTCCCCCACCACCCACAAAAAAAGATGTCTATGACCTACTAATCGGTGGAACCTGTGAATATGTTGTTACAAGCAAAAGAAATTAAGGTTGCTAGTCAGCTGACCTTGAGATCAGGAGAGCATCCTGGATTATCCAGGTGGGCCCAACATAATTACAAAGGCCCTTAAAAGTGAACAAGGGAGGCAGGAGAGTCAATGTCAGAGTGATGTAGGTGAGAAAGACTCTACTGCTCATGGCTGGCTTTGAAGATGGAC